AACACTGAAGGAATCCTAACTGGGAAAAGCTGAGTGCAATGACAGCAATAATCATCCACAACAACAACAACAACAAAAAACGTCTTCAAACTTTGTGTTTTTCTATTGTTTGGAGACCCCTAGCGGCAGAAATTGCATATTTAAGTTACAGTTTAGCCAACCAAGGATGCTCGGTTACCATACCATTATAGTTTTTTTATGCATTTTAAAGGAAACTGAGACTATAGTATATAAAAACACATATTTGCATAATCCATTGGTTACTTCTGGAAGTTGTGGTGGCATTGCAGTAGGTGCATCACCATCTATTGCCTGGCAGAAATTCGTAGTCTACTCAGTGCACTCTTCTGGTTATATATGTTTTATATCTAAACATCGTAGTAAATCTATAGCTGTTAGAGTCTCTTTTAGTTGGAAGTTGCCTACCTTGCTTAATGGAAAAGTCCACCCCTGTGCTTTTGGTGCTCTGGAGAACCACCTAATTCACCTACTGTATGCCTAAAAACTGGCCTAAACCTAGTATTCTCAGTCAACCAGTCCTATTTTATAGACAGCTCTCTGAGGCCAGAGTGGTATGATAGAGGAAAGATCCCATTTCTGCCTCTGCATTATTAAAGACTGAAGAAGTCCCAACACTGGAAAGCCCTTCACCTGCTTATGTTTTTAGCACTATGTATAAAATGATGTCAGAAGATGCAGTGGTCTAAATGGGTCCATGTGTTGTGCAGATCTATTTCTGTCCTCTTCTGCTCTACTGTTGTCCCAGTGCGTGAGAAGACCTCAAGCCAGTTCACTTACCCACTTACTTTCTGAGCACCAGAGACACGCAACCCTCAAACCCGCCAGGCCCTTCAGACTGTAGCGTTAATGAAGTGTGCTCCCAGAGTCCAGATTGTAACCTGTTAAAATAACACAGGAGGATTTCTCTCTGGAGGAATGAGTGATAAAAAGCCCATGACCTATTTATTCTGCTGTCTTTGCTCAGCTGGTTCCTCTGTTGCAGGTGACAGCAGGGGATGCAGGTTAGAGATCCGTCCACCTGTTCTTTTTGTCTCTTATTGCAGTCAAAGTAATTTAAAAAAACCATTTTACATCTATTAATTTGCTTTATTTGATAACCACCATGTTTTTACACATTTAATCACTTTATTTACTACATTTTTATTTTATTTTGATTTCTACCTTTTCGTAAGGTCAGTCTGTCAGTCAGTTGCTCCACCACTTTGGTCCTCTCTCCCACTACCTGCACTGAGTCGAGGGGGAGAAAAAAAGCGCTCGACTATGAGCGAGAGCTGCTGCAACTGCAGCCGCTCTGGAAAGCGGTGCATGCATGTAAATGTTGAGATACTATGTATGAATGCATTGTATCAGCCTTATTGACCGATATCGGCCTATGGGAAAATAAGTGGCATTCACCAATGTCAGTCAATTTTGTGCTGGTTTAATGTTTCCCAACTCTGATATTGGAGAAATAAACAGTTTAATTTTCCAGCCCCGGCACAAAGCGCACGTAAACACCACTGTGCTCCATGCAGCAGCACGGACATTAAGCGGCTGTTCAGCTCTGAGTTTCACATCTTGTATGAGAAAAGAAAGAGACTGAGCTGCAACAAGGCAGATGATTGTCTTTGTAGATTACTTTTGTTTCCTAAAAGGCTGCATAAATAACAACAAAAAACAACCTAACCTTTCCTCCAGGGCTTTTCTGCATTCTCTCTTTCTCCTGCCCTGTCTGTTTTTTCCTCGACACTGCTTTAGCAACGTGCACTGCATGCACTGACTGACTGTTGATGGCAGGCAGATATCATACCACAAGGTTAAAAGCAGGCTTGGGGGCTGACAGCCTACAGTTGTTAGACTGTTAGAGACTGACCCATTTCATTTAGCATTTTTAACACTAGCCTGATACTTCCAGTGCTCCTGATAGCTAGCCTTGTGAATCAGCTGCACTCACAAGATTACGAGATCACACGGGAATCCATATCTCCAGGCTTCAGTGTAACGAACGCCAGTACAGTATCGGACCAATAGGCGTTCTTTGAGGAAGTACTGGCAGCTATAGGGGTGTGAGCTAGGTGTGACGCAGAAGAAGAAGAAGACATTGTTCATTAAACAACAATGGTGGCTGCTAAAGAGGTTAACATAGATGCTGCTAGCATCAGTTCTATCAGAACTGGAGAGTATTTCCTCACTGAAAGAATAGCACTGAAGGCTTTACACCATGAAAAAGATGTTTTCTCTCTTCTCCCAACTGGTGTCAGTAAGAGTTTGACCTGATTGATCTGATTGGTTGCCCAAGCTGAAGTTTGGTGATTTGGGCGGCAGTAGTTCAGTGTGTAAGGACTTGGCTTAGGAACCGGAGGGTCGCTGGTTCAAGTCCCAGCCAGCTCTTTCCATGTTTGCATGTCCACAAGCCCTGCATGTGCATGGGTGCTGTGTGTGTCTGCGGTTTGCTG